AAACCTGTCAAAATGCATCAGGGTTCAAAATTGGCTCTCATGAGCATAGCAAAACCCAAATATGTGCACAATTTTGAGTGACATCATTTGTTCAGCCTACCAGTGGATAATTTCTACTATGCTATATATAGACTAGGCCTACCTGACACAGTGAAAGTGCAACCAAAATCAGAACTTGTGCGTAGGCCTACTGTAAACTGAAATCAACACCTGGTGCAGGTTTATATTTACACTGTTATCGTTAATTAATATCTTGTTAATAAATATCTACCTAAAAGTTGGGCTACACAAGGCCTAGGCCAGGGGTGTCAAACGTCCGGCCCCCAAACGGGTTTAATCCGGCCCGCGAGATGATTTTGAAAAAAATAATATTAAAAAAATAAAATAAAATTGTAAAGTATAAAAATGCGCTGCAATTTTTCAATCAAATAAACTGCTGTTCCAATTGCGTCCACTGGATGGCGCAATAGCAATTGTGTTAAGCAAGCAAACTGTTTATACCGGGGCAGAGCAAGTAGGTCAAGCACGTGCAGCCAATGAGCTACTTTGTTTTGCCCGCGATATTTATTACGGCTTCTACTTTTAACATTATGTGCTTTGGCACCCTCATTGCCCCAATATGTCTCTGTCAAAAAAGAGAAAAGTGGACGCAGAGTGCAGAGTGTTCCAAGAAAAATGGTCATCCTATTTATTCACGGAATTGAATGGGAAAGCTGTATGTTTGGTGTGTTCAGAGCATGTTGCAGTGCTGAAAGAATATAACCTTCGTCACCACTATGTGAGTCTTCATGCCGACAAATATGACAACTTTCAAGGACAGCGGAGATGAGAGAAGGTGAATGAACTGTTGGCGGGTCTGAAGAAACAGCAGTCTGTGTTTACTCACAGCCGAGACATCAGTGATGCTGCAGTGAAAGCTAGCTACCTCATTGCTAATGAAATCGCAGTGGCTTCAAAACCATTTAGTGAGGGTGAATTTGTAAAAACATGCATGATGAAGGCAGCGGAGATTGTGTGCCCTGAAAAGCGGCAGGCTTTTGCAAATATCAGCCTGACAAGAAACACAGTTGCAGACAAGATTTCCGATCTTTCAGTGGATTTGGACAGCCAGTTGAAGCAAAAAGTAAAGTCATTTATTGCGTTTTCGGTTGCAATTGATGAAAGCACGGACATTACAGATGTTGCACAACTGGCCATTTTCATCCGCGGAGTTGATGATACATTGACCGTCACCGAGGAGTTCGTGGAGTTGGTGCCGATGACAGATACAACGACAGCAGCTGATATTTTTACCGCACTCGTCGGCGCGCTGGACAGGGTCGGAGTGGACTGGTCCCGCGCTGTCAGCCTGGCTACAGATGGTGCGCCCTCAATGATCGGGAAAAAAGCAGGCGTTGTGACAAAGTTCAGAGAGAAAGTGCAATCTGCAAATGGAGGACGTGATTTTTTGACTTTTCACTGTATTTTGCACCAGGAGGCTTTGTGTTGCAAGTCATTAAAGATGGATAACGTCATGAAGGTGGTCATCCAAACTGTTAATTTCATCCGATCCAGAAGCCTGAATCACTGTCAGTTTGACAGCCTTCTCAGAGAGAAAGACCACATCTATGGCCTGCCATACCACACTGAGGTAAGATGGTTAAGCCGAGGTGCTGTGCTGAGGCGTTTCTTTTGATTTACGAGAAGAAATTGAACAGTTCATGGAAGAAAAGGGCAAACCAGAGTTAGAATTTCATTCCGCAGAATGGATGCAGGACCTTGCATTTATGGTGGATGTTACAGAGCACCTGAATAACTTGAACAAACAGCTGCAAGGGCGCAACAAAGTTGTCACGCAGCATTATGACAGCATACGTTCTTTCAAGTTGAAGCTGTCATTGTGGGAGACGCAACTTGCCGGTGGTGATGCAGCTCACTTCCCCTGTCTGAAAAATGTGTGCGCGACCCAACATGTGGCAGACATGAAGCGGTTCAAAGATAAAATAACGGGACTGTTACGGGAGTTTGAGCAACGCTTTCAGATTTATGTTTATATGTTTTTATGTTGATGTGCTATTGTTTTTAATTGATTTTATTTTATTTGTATATTTAACCTATTCTTGACTCTGTGGTTCTTGCACTTGTTTGGGGAACAGGATTTCATTATTTTTATCTACATTTCTGCCTGAGAAATGACACCCTGATATAGTTCTGTGATCTGTGAAACAGTTCTGTTAATCACTGAGGCATTGTGTGTTTGTGTGTTCTTTTTCTTTAGAATTTTCAAATAAACTTGACGTGTTTTATGATTAATAGTGATGTTGTGCTTGTACTATTTTGGACACACTGTCCTCAGGCTCCAGCTTTATGTTGTATGTTGATCGTATTAAAACAAAGAAAACAATCTGAAGTTGTTGTTTTTAAGTTATATATACCATGATTTTTCCGGTCCGGCCCACTTGGGAATAGATTTTCCTCCATGTGGCCCCTGAGCTAAAATGAGTTTGACACCCCTGGCCTAGGCCTACAATAGAGCTCGCCAGCTTGTAGTCCTAAAAAATGGAAATGAGTTATCTCTGGTTCGTTCAGCCATTCCTATGTTGAAAATGAATGGGGAGAGAATAGGGTTTTGGGATAAATGCCGATAATAAAGTGTTAACACAGGTGTAGGAGATCTTATACATTTTGTTCTATGAGATAATATCAGTCAATTAACATGACCTTTATGGATTATGAAGCTTTTAAGTGCGTTAAGTGATTTTGTTATTACTTAAATGCTTCAACATTCACAGAAAGCTACGTCAGTTGGTGAAGATTATCTCATAGAACAAAACGTATAAGATCTCCTAAGTCTGTTTACCACAGACCTTATTTTCGGCATTTATCAAAAAAAACTAAAAAAACTAAATTGAACCATGGCGGAGTTAGTGCCTACAAAAAGACAACATTACAATTATTCTCTATTGACAATTGACCATAAACATTAAAACCAATTGACATACATGACCAAAAGTATGTGGACACCTGCTCATCGAACATCTCATTCCAAAATCATGGGCATTAATATGGAATTGGTCCCCCCTTTGCTACTATAACAGCCTCCACTCTTCTGGGAAGGCTTTCCACTAGATGTTGGAACCCAGATGCGGGGACTTGCTTCCATTCAGCCACAAGAGCATTAGTGAGGTTGGGCACTGATGTTGGGCGATAGGCCTGGCTCGCAGTCTGCATTACAATTCAACTCAAAGGTGTTCGATGGGGTGGAGGTCAGGGCTCCTTGCAGGCCAGTCAAGTTCTTCCACACCGATCTCTACAAACCATTTCTGTATGGCCCCGTGTAGCTCAGTTGGTAGAGCATGGCGCTTGCAATGCCAGGGTTGTGGGTTCGTTTCCCACGGGGGGCCAGTATGAAAATATATGCACTCACTAACTGTAAGTCGCTCTGGATAAGAGCGTCTTCTAAATTACTAAAATGTAAAAATGTAAAATGTATGGACCTCGCTTTGTGCACGGGGGAATTGTCATGCTGAAACAGGAAAGGGCCTTCCTCAAACTGTTGCCACAAAGTTGGAAGCACAGAATTGTCTAGAATGTAATTGTATGCTGTAGTGTTAAGATTTCCTTTCACTGGAACTAAGGGGCTTTGCCCGAACCATGAAAACCAGCCCCAGACCATTATTCCTCCTCCACCAAACTTTACAGTTGGCACTATGCATTCGGGCAGGTAGCGTTCTCCTGACATCCGCCAAACCCAGATTCGTCCGTCGGACAGCCAGATGGTGAAGCGTGATTCATCACTCCAGAGAACCCGTTTCCAATGCTCCAGAGTCCAATGGCGGTGAGCTTTACACCAATCCAGCCGACTCTTTGCATTGCGCATGGTGATCTTAGGCTTGTGTGCGGCTGCTCGGCCATGGAAACCTTGTGCTGACGTTGCTTCCAGAGGCAGTTTGGAACTTGGTTATGAGTGTTGCAACCGAGGACAGACAATTTTTACGTGCTACGCGCTTCAGCACTCGGCGGTCCCCTTCTGTGAGCTTGTTTGGCCTACCACTTCGCGACTGAACCGTTGTTGCTCCTAGATGTTTCCACTTCACAATAACAGAATTTACAGTTGACTGGGGCAGATCTAGCAGGGAAGAAATTTGACGAACTAACTTGTTGGAAAGGTGGCATCCTATGACGGTGCCACGTTGAAAGTCACTGAGCTCTTCAGGAAGGCTATTCTACTGCCATCGTTTCTCCATGGAGATTGCATGTCTGTGTGCTCGATTTTATACACCTTTCATCAATGGGTGTGGCTGAAATAGCCAAATCCACTAATTTGAAGGAGTGTCCACATATTTTTGTACATACAGTGTACATTGCAGCTGATTTTAGCTATTAAACTTAAGTTGCGTTTACACAGGCAGCCCAATTCTGATCTGTTTTCCACTAATTGGTCTTTTGACCAATCACATCAGATCTTTTAACATCAGATCTTGTTCAGAGCTCAAAAGACCAATTAGTGAAAAATTATGTCAGAATTGTGCTGCCTGTGTAAATGTATCCTAAGGTAGCTACAAGTAAATTGTTGGACTTTCCCTGCATTTCCAAAACTGTGTACACCATTCAGATTTCCTCTCAGTGCATACTGGTTTTGGGCGCGCTATGTTTGTTTACCGAAAAATGCACTCATATAGGCTATCGTTGACTTCAAAAGGAGAAAAGTTGGAAGTCAACTTCCTTGGTGTTATCGATAGTGTTAATAGTTATTCTTGAAGCTCCACCTCCACTTCCACCTTTTATGTTAATTTCAATGTTATTCTGCGCTGCTGTGTGTTACTGCTGTGTAGCCTATTTGCCGCGGTCCAATGTGAATCGGCTTGGACAGCCACTAACTACACTGAGGGCAAACGGTGTTTGAAGAGAACGAAATCGTGATTATCTGATTATGTTATGTTGACAGCCAAGGAGCGCATGTCTCTGTGAATATTTTATCTAACAAAACCAGAGAAGAGGAACTCACCTTGTATTTAAACATGGGAGGTCAGATAACAAGAAATACATTGTACGGTAAGGATATTTGACATTTGAGGGGGAGGTAGCCTATATTCGATTATCGATTGCATATGTTTAGCAATAATAAAAATGTTGCTGATGCTGATGGGATAGGCTACAATGAAAACCTAGAGGCAAAAATTGCAAAATTTGAGGATGATTATAAGTTGATTGTTAACTGGCAGTTTATCCCTTACAAAAATAAATTAGTCAGCAAGAAAATGAGTTAAAGTATTATGAATGCTCTAGCTATGACTTGTGTTCTTTTTTATGTTAGATGCATGCTAACGTTATCACACAATTATAGCAATGCAATATTCTGGTATGTGCAGCAACGTGAATGTTCAAGAATCAACTTCATATTTGCATTGTTTCAAATTGGCTGATGGTATTTATATTTCTTATTTTCTTATCTGCTACATATTTTCTTCGGATGACAACTTTTGGTTAAGTATGTCTGGGATGATTGAGCCAAATAACTGGACATTGAATATAACGGGTTATCAATGTGGAGAAATGGTGTTCCTTAATTATTATTATTATGATTTAAATCGTTTACCTTGCCTAGTATTTGTAAACAGTGTGCCTCTCATTGACTGCCCAAGTGTCCAATCAGTTGTCTGATACTCCACAAAACCATATGCATTGACATAACTAATCTAATTAATCATGTTAATTACTCTAAATGAATACATGTGTAGTCTGCAGTTCTACTCTGATCATGGCCTCATGGTGTACTAAATCGTATTTGTTTTTTTGTCCCTTCTTGTCCCTTTTTGTCCCTTGTCAGATAGATCTCTATGATGAGGATATAATAAGAGGTTCAAAACTTTTATAAACATCAAATCATATTTTATTGGTCTCATACACATATTTAGCAGATGTTATTGCGGGTGTAGCAAAATGCTTGTAAATGTCTATCGGCGCCATCTTGGTGAACATCACAAACAGCTTTCCTAGCTATGCAATCCATCTTTCCTGGCTATGCAATGATACAGAGATTACGTGTGTGCAATGTACAGTATATGGTATACTTAAGCAATAAGGCATGAGGGGGTGTGCTATATGGCCAATATACCACGGCTAAGGGCTGTTCTCATATACGATGCAACGCGGAGTTCCTGGACACAGCCCTTAGCCGTGGTATATTGGCCACATATCACAAACCCCCGAGGTGCCTTATTGCTATTATAAACTGGTTACCAACGAAATTAGAGCAGTCAAAATAAATGTTTTGTCATACCCATGGTATAAGGTCTGATATACCACGGCTGTCAGCCAATCAGCATTCAGGGCTCGAACCACCCAGTTTATACTTTACATTAGACCTCACAGGTAGGAGAGGTCTATTAGAAATGTGAAACTATAGTTGTGTCAGCCAGGGTAGTATACATACCCTAGGCTTCCCAGTGGCCTTAGGCAGCTAGATGCCCTTAGAGTCATATCTAGGACCATCTTACCCAAACCCAGTTAAACCTTGACCATCAGCACGTCAAATGTAAAACCGACATTAGATTAGTGCTTAGGGCCAACCTCCACCTGTCCCTTTCAGAGATGACACATTGTGACAACCAAGCTGCTGTAACACACTTGCCCTGTGCTCTCCAGGGCTGCTGCCGCTGAGCTTTTGTCCCACATTAGCGGGCCACTGAGCCCTGATGCTAACGTAATGTCAAGCCTGGAAAAAAGACTCCAGAACGGGGCAGCGGGGCTGCGGGCCAGGTGACACTGCCTATGGCTGTCTCTGGCTCTGTCTATCCAGTCTTCACTGTTTGGTTGCCCTGACCAATCAATGACGATTGAGCTCTAAGCAATATTCCCCTTCCTTAACCTGCATGCTGGATGCTTGTCGTGGCGTTTCTCTTTATCATGCCCAGTCTCTGCTCAATGTGAAGTTTGACATCTCTGTCCGGTTGCATTGCTCTCAAGATAAACACTACCGGTCAAAAGGTTTAGAACACCTACTCATTCCAGGGTTTTTCTTTATTTTTTACTATTTTCTACATTGTAGAATAATAGTGAAGACATCAAAACTGTGAAATAACACATATGGAATTCTGTAGTAACCAAAAAAGTGTTAAACAAATCAAAATATATTATATATTTGAGATTCTTCAAATAGCCACCCTTTGCCTTGATGACAGCTTTGCACACTCTTGGCATTCTCTACACCAGCTTCACCTGAAATGCTTTTCCAACAGTCTTGAAGGAGTTCCCACATATGCTGAGCACATGTTGGCTTCTTTTCCTTCACTCTGCAGTCCGACTCATCCCAAACCATCTTAATTTGCTGGTTGAGGTAGGGGGATTGTGGAGGCCAGGTCATCTGATGCAGCACTCCATCACTCTCCTTCTTGGAGAGCCTGGAGGTGTGTTGGGTCATTGTCCTGTTGAAAAACAAATGATAGTCACACTAAGCCCAAACCAGATGGGATGGAGTATCGCTGCAGAATGCAGTGGTAGCCATGCTGGTTAAGTGTGCCTTGAATTCTAAATAAATCACAGACAGTGTCACCAGCAAAGCACTCCCACACCATAACACCTCCTCCTCCATGCTTTATGGTGGGAAATACACATGCGGAGATCATCCGTTCACCCACACCACGTCTCACAAAGACACGGCGGTTGGAACCAAAAATCTCCAATTTGGACTCCAGACCAAAGGACACATTTCCATTGGTCTAATGTCCATTGCTCGTGTTTCTTGGCCCAATCAAGTCTCTTCTTCTTATTGGTGTCCTTTAGTAGTGGTTTCTTTGCAGCAATTCTATCATGAAGGCCTGATTCACACAGTCTCCTCTGAACAGTTGATGTAGAGATGTGTCTGTTACTTGAACTCTGTGAAGCATTTATTTGGGCTGCAATTTCTGAGGCTGGTAACTCTAATGAACTTATCCTCTGCAGCAGAGGTAACTCTGGGTCTTCCATTCCTGTGGCGGTCCTCATGAGAGACAGTTTCATCATAGTGCTTGATGGTTTTTGCGACTGCACTTTCAAAGTTATTGACATTTTCTCTATTGACGATTGACTGTAGTTTCTCTTTGCTTATTTGAGCAGTTCTTGCCATAATATGGACTAGGGCTATCTTCTGTATCAACTGATTGGCTCAAACGCATTAAGAAGGAAAGAAATTCCACAAATTAACTTTTAAGAAGGCACACTGGTTAATTGAAATGCATTCCAGGTGACTACCTCATGAAGCTGGTTGATAGAATGCCACAGGTGTGCAAAGCTGTCATCAAGGCAAAGGGTGGCTATTTGAAGAATCTAAAATATAAAATATATTTGATTTGTTTAACACTTTTTTGGTTACTACATGATTCCATATGTGTTATTTCATAGTTTTTTACAATGTAGAAAATAGTAAAAATAAAGAAAAACCTTTGAATGAGTAGGTGTTCTAAAACTTTTGACCAGTAGTGTACACAGAGAACCTCTGTGCCGTCGAGGAGGTAGGCACCGACCTTCTCAGACAATACAATGTAATGCTTAATTTAAATAAGCATAAAGAATTCAAATCTATCAATGTGGCAGCAGTAAGCACAATGCATTTGGCATTTGTGAGGTCTTTTGTAAACACATTTTGGACCTTGAGTCAACCAAAAGTGTTTGTTTTGTATGTTCTGGCATGTCATACATTATCATTTGTTAGGCCAGTGGTTGAATACAATACACCCTTTTATGTTGCCATCAAACATAATGTGACATGATAAAAAAAATATGGTTACTTGATTTATTATGACTTTATTTAGGACCATTGTTGTACATAAAGAACCATTCATCATTTTTCTGTAGCCCAGGCACAGACATGTGAATACCTCAAGTCAGTAGTGTATACTCTAACAAATAAGATGTACTTTTCCTATGCCAGATTAGCCTGAACAATTCATTGGAGTTCTCTTGGCAGCCATAATCTAAAGGAGTTTCAACAATGGAGAAAATAACTCTGTAGAAACACATGACAAATTCTGTGCTGCATTATTTTTGGTTAATTTCCTGGTCAAATGTCTTATTCAAATGAGGCTATTATGTACATCCATGGATAGATACGAGTTTAACCTATGCATAATATTCCTGTCTTGAAATTGAAGTGACTGCATTCGCAGAAGCCCCATGATGCTCTGTTGCCAATGTAAGCTGCCTAATTGAAATGTCTCCTGGGTACACTGAAAAGCTCTTGACCCCTAGAGGTCATGAGCAATAATAAGAGATTAGGCTAGGGATACTCTCTCTCTCTCACACTCACTCACACACACACGCACCCCTCTTAATTAGGCAAACGTGCTCCTCTAGTTTTAGATCCTTAGACCTTTTGCTTTTTAGTGCAGTGACCTGGTGACAGGCCAGTGTTGACCTGCTCCCAAACCTCTACTGGTTTATACTGTACTGTAGGTTTGTGAAGGACAGGTATTTGTGATATTACCTATTATCTTAATATTATTATATATTATAAAATATTATTTGTGAATGTTAATTTGACAATCAGCTAAGTGCAAGTCATAAAATAACATTAGGTTATTCCCACACAATTGTCTGTTGAATAAGTCATTATTTGTGATGATCTCACCAGAAATATCTCCATGACAACTCAATGTCCTTGGCATTGTTGTATTGCTTTGAAGGGAGATGTGAAAATGTAAATGAGGAAAAGGAGATTAGGATAACCAAGGGGAGTAGCCTAACTGTTGATTTAGCGCTTACAGTGGCACAAACCACGCCTTATCAGTCTACAAAAAGGCAGATGTGAGAAAAGTAGATTTGGAGTCAATTAGAGCTGCATTGAAGGATGTATGTGTAGGAGCTGTTTATTACCCATTATGCATTCTTTGGTATTTACTACAAGTCAGATACATCCTAAAGTAGCTTTGTAGTCGTTTTTTCCGTGTTATGCTATTCTTTGACCCTCTGTAACTTTCTCACTCATTATTATTCACGATTATTTCAGAATGATCCGTAATCATGGTAGCATCCACATGAATGTAGAAGTGTTTAGAAACATATTATATTCTTATTTGCAATAAAAGTGACTCCAAAATGACACAATACATTATTTACCATTCATTTCTGTTGGGCACATAATTATCTGAAACACAACCAAAACTAACTGCAAATGCATCCAACATGTTTGTAGAGTCACACGCTTGCTGTAGTCATTGCATGCTAGGAATATGGGACCAAATACTGCATTTCTGACTACTTTATTTATAAGAATCTTTAGGGGTGTCAATAATTTTGACCCCTACCTTTTTGAGATAAATTATTACTTGATAAACAAAATATCTTTCTCTGAGCAATTGTATTAGTATAAACTATAATTTCCCCCCAAAAATGTAGCATACGATATAGCTCATTATTTGAATTATTTATTTTAGACAGTCATTATTGCTCATCTTTATCAAGCGTGTCAATAATTGTGGACCCCACTGTATATATTGTTGATATATTCAAGATATATTCAAGACTCAAGATGAAACCAGGGCTATATCTTTAACCAAAGCCTAAAGGAGTGTGTGTGTTTGTGTGTGTGTGTGTGTGTGTGTGACTGTTTCTGTGTCTGTGTCTGTGTCTGTGTCTGTGTGTCCACAGGCGTGGAAGGAAGCTAAAGTAATTTCACTGCCTAAAAATAGTAAAGCACCCTTTGCTGTCTCCAACAGCCGCCAATCAGTTTGCTGCCTGTTCTTAGTAAACTGATGGAGAGAATTGTGTTTGACCAAATACAATGCTATTTTTCAGAGAACAAGTTAACTACTGACTTTCAGCATGCATATAGAGAAGGGCACTCAACGTGTACTGCACTGACTCAGATGACTGATGATTGGTTAGCATAAATGGATAATAAGATGATAGTTGGAGCTGTATTGTTAGATTTCAGTGCAGCCTTTGATGTTATTGATCATAAACTGTTATTGAAAAAAACTCACTTGTTATGGATTTAAATCACCTGCCATCACATGGTTGGAGAGTTATCTATTCAATAGATCCCAGAGAGTGTTCTTCAATGGAAGCTTCTCTAATATCAGATATGTACAGTGCGGTGTCCCTCAGGGCAGTTAGCTTGGGCTGTTACTCTTCTCTATTTTTTACAAATTATTTGCCACTGGTGTTACACGATGCTAGAATGACTATGTATGCGGATGATTCCACACTCTACATGTCAGCACCAAAAGCCAGTGAGCTCACTGAAATTCTAAATAAGGAGTTACAGTCAGTATCAGAATGGGTGATTAATAATAAACTGGTCTTAAATACAATGCCTTCAGAAAGTATTCACACCCCTTGACTTTTTCCACATTTTGTTGTGTTACAGCCTGAATTTAAAATGGATTAAATGTAGATGTTTTGTCACTGGCCTACACACAATACTACAACTAAAAGCATTGTATTTGTTTCAAAACATTCCCTAAGATCTAAATCTCAACGGTTGCTGTTCTGATGTCCAGCAGCTCTTTTCAGGCATAGGAAATAATTTTATAAACACAAAATAGCAGAATTGGTCAGGAGCCCGTAAAATGGCTGCTGTTCATTGCAGTGTCAATCTCCATGCAGCACTGGTCTCTCTGCTACAGCACCGCAACCGGTACCTATGCACCAAGTCTACCTATGCACCTTATTTACATAAGTATACAGACCTTTTGCTATGAGACTTGAAATTGAGCTCAGGTGCATCCTGTTTCCATTGATCATCCTTGATACAACATGATTGGAGTCCACCTGTGATAAATTGTTGCAGTTGATTGGACATGACTTGGAAAGGTACCTGTCTATATAAGATCCCACAGTTGACATTGCATGTCAGCGCAAAAACCATGAGGTCGAAGGAATTGTCCGTAGAGCTCAGAGACAGGATTGTGTCGCAAGGGTAGCAAAACATTTCTGCAGCATTGAAGGTCCCCAAGAACATAGTGGCCGCCATCATTCTTAAATGGAAGAAGTTTGGAACCACCAAGACTCTTCCTAGAGCTGGTCGCCCTGCCAAACTGAGCAATCGGGGGAGAAGGGCCTTGGTCAGGGAGGTGACCAAGAACCCGATGGTCACTCTGACAGAGCTCTAGAATTCCTCTGTGGAGATTGGAGAACCTTCCAGAAGGACAACCATTTCTGCAGCACTCCACCATTCAGGCCTTTATGGTAGAGAGACCAGGCGGAAGATACACCTCAGTAAAAGGTACATGACGGCCCACATGGAGTTTGCCAAAAGGCACCTAAAGACTCTCAGACCATGAGAAACAAGATTCTCTGGTCTGATGAAACCAAGATTGAACTCTTTGGCCTGAATGCCAAGCGTCACGCCTGGAGGAAACCTGCCACCATCCCTACGGTGAAGCATGGTGGTGGCAGCATCATGCTGTGGGGATGTTTTTCAGTGGTAGGGACTGGGAGACTAGTCAGGATCGAGGCAAAGATGAACAGAGCAATGTACAGAGAGCTCCTTAATGAAAACCTGCTCCAGAGCGCTCAGGACCTCAGTCTGGGGCGAAGGTTCACCTTCCAACAGGACTATGACCCTAAGCACACAGCCAAGACAATGCAGGAGTGGCTTCGGGACAAGTCTCTGAATGTCCTTGAGTGGCCCAGCCAGAGCCCGGACTTGAACCCGATCGAATATCTCTGGAGAGACCTGAAAATAGCTTTGCAGCAACGCTCCCCATCCAACCTGAGAGAGCTTGAGAGCTTGTAGCGTCATACCCAAGAAGACTCAAGGCTGTAATCGCTGCCAAAGGTGCTTCAACAAATACTGAGTAAAGGGTCTGAATACTTATGTAAATGTGATATTTCCGTTTTTTCTGTTTTATACATTTGCAAACATTTCTAAAAACCTGTTTTTTCTTTGTCATTATGGGGTGTTGTGTGTAGATTGATGAGAAAAAAATACAATTTAATAAATGTTAGAATAAGGGTATAACCTAACAAAATGTGGAAAAAGTCAAAGGGTCTGAATACTTTCCAAAGGAACTGTATTTGGTTAACTATTTAACTATCTGTATTTACCCTTTTTTGCACTATTTGTTTTTGACTCATCACATATACGCTGCTGCTACTGTTTATTATCTGTCACTTTATTCCTAGTTATATGTAAATATCTACCTCTTACCTTGTACCCCTGCACATCGACTCGGTACTGGTACCCTGTGTATATAGCAAAGTTATCGTTACTCACTCTGTATTTATTATTAATTTTATTATTACGTGTTTTACTTTTCTATTATTTCTCTATTTTCTTTCTCTCTGCATTGTTGGGAAGGGCCTGTAAGTAAGCATTTCACTGTTGTTTACGAAGCATGTGACAAATACAATTTGATTTGTGTTGTGCATAAAGGGTGTGACCATTGAGCAAGCTGAGGAAGCTAAACTCCTAGGTATAACATTGGATGGTCAATTATCATGGTCAAGTCCTATTGATAAAGTTGTTGTGAATATGGGGATGGGGTATATCTGTAAAAGATCTTCTGCATTTTTGACACAAATCAACTGTACTAGTTGTTCAGGCTCTGGTCTTGTCCCATCTTGATTACTGTCTGGTAATATGGTCAAGTGTAGCAAAGAAAGATCTAAAAAAGCTGCAGCTGGCTCAAAACAGAGCTGCACGTCTTGCCCTTAACTGCACATACAGAACTAACATCAACAACATGCATGCCAGTCTTTCCTAGTTGACGAGAGATTAACTCCTTCTCTTCTAGTTTTTATTAGAAATATTACTGTGATCAATTCCAGATTGTCTGCATAATTAAATAACATACAGCTCAGAAACCCATACATACCCAACAACACATGCCACCAGGGGTCTTTTCACAGTCCCCTAGTCCAAAATGAATTAACGGCAACGCACAGTATTATACAGAGCCATGATTGCATGGAACTCCCTTCCATCTCCAATGACCCAAGCAAACAGCAACATTACCATTTCAAAAATTGATAAAACAACATCTCATTGCACAATAGAGACTGTGAAATGACACACAAACACACGCATATCATTGTATTTTAAATTTGTGAAACTGTTCTTGTCTATCAGTGTTTTGCTTTGTTACTTGTCGTGTTTATGCTTTTGTGTGGACCCCAGGAAGAATAGCTGCCGCTTCGGCAAAAGCTAATGGGGATCTGAATAAACCATTGGCAAAATGTGGAATAACAAAAAATGAATGGTATGACAGGAGATTACCAATTACTGATATTACCTCATTTTGTATGAGGTTTTCGCAGCTGCACAATTCTCTCTGGTTACCAAGCAGCTCTTATCCTTATATATTCTCATCCAAGGAGAAAATCGAGATTACTAACAGACCTATATTTAATTTTGTTTGTACTCGTTGTTGGATTTCTGAAAATAAAGTTTGAGTTAAATGGTTCTTAAAGGAACATACAGGTAATAATGGAAACGAGGGATACAGGTGTGGTTCCTGAGTTAATTAAGCAATTAACATCCCATCATGCTTAGGGTAATGTATAAAAATGCTGGCCAGCCATTTTGGCCATTATTTTGGCTACTATGGCTATGACCCCATAGGAGGACAATGCCCCCATCCACAGGGCACGAGTGGTCAACAAATGGCTTGATGAGCATGAAAATGATGTAAACCATATGCCATGGCTGTTTTCAACAAAACACCAAATTATGGAATTTCTTGTTCCAGACACTTGTAGAATCTTTGCCAAGGTGCATTGAAGCTGTTCTGGCTCGTGGTGGCCCAACGCCATATTAAGATACTTTATGTTGGTGTTTCCTTTATTTTTGGCAGTTACCTATACACCCAGTCATCATCACAACATTGAAGAAAGGCAGTTTTTATTGATTGTATGCTGTTAATGCATTTTTATATTGACATTGTGCATATTTAAACAGTGGATGCCATAGAGTACAACTGCAAATGTTGTGGTTCCTATGATATGCATTTTAGTAATACTTTTCTGATCTCTCAAGTAATGTTCTTTGTAGATCCGTATATCTAACTCCCCCTATGCTTCCTCCTTTTCAGATTCTCTGGGTGGCCCCTTCCCCACCACATCCCACCGCTACCACCATAAGCCCACCAAGCAATGTCTGCCCATCCTGCAGTGTGGGGGCAGCCTGTCCTCCTTTCCCCTGCTCTTCCACCCCAGTGCCAAGGGCTCCCAGATCGTCATGGACGTGGCCCAGAGGACCGTCAAGAGGCAGGCCAGCTTCTGCAACGCCATCACCTTCAGCAACCGGTCCATCGCCCTGTACGAGCAGGTCCGCCTCAAGGTATGGATAGACTGGGCAGTGGACCATGGTTATCAGCACACTTTCTTTCCTCCCTTTCTTTTAGCCTGTTTTCCATAATTATTTTGTCTGTCTCTCTCACTCACTGTGCATTTTACCTTCATTATTCCCCTGATTCTGTGTGGGCCAAAAGAGCTTAGCCAAAGTTTCCACTTCACCTATCAGACCATCTATGTCTCAAGTGAAAGAGCAGGGGAAGCATTGCCATGTGAGCCATTGGCCTACTGTTATCTTGAATGGTGAAAGAAGTGTAAATAGAGGTTTTAAATGAGATCCGACAAGAATATCCATTCTGATGATAAACAGACATACAGTATATGTTTATTTGTGTTGTTGTTGTTTACCATTTGGTTTGTCAAAGTTTTAACAAATGGCCAACCATAATGTCTATTGGTCAATTTTAGGTTAACACGACTAATGGAATGGACTTTAGGTCATTCACCAGCTTAACTCCCTTCATCAAAATGTAAATGGTATATGTGAAACCATTATCTGTTCCCCTCCAGATCACTAAGAAGCAGTGCTGCTGGAGCGGAGCCCTGCGTCTGGGCTTCACCTCCAAGGACCCGTCCCGCATCAACCCAGACAACCTGCCCAAGTACGCCTGCCCAGACCTGGTCTCCCAGAACGGCTTCTGGGCCAAGGCCCTGCCCGAGGAGCTGTCCAATGAGGGCAATGTCATCTCCTTCTGGGTGGACAAGAAGGGTCGGGTGTTTTACCGCACCAATGGTTCCAGCCCCATGCTGTTCTTCAGCGGGGTCCATGCCTCCGAGCCACTCTGGGCTCTCATAGACGTCTACGGCCTGACACGAGGTGTCCAGTTACTGGGTGAGTTTCACAGGGAGAAGGGAAAGTGTTATGGCGGCTTATGATGTTCCTTGCCCTATATTGTTCTGTCTGATTTGAGAGAAATGTACAATTCCAATTCATTTTTATAAATTTCCCAAATTGACTAATGACAGCAAGTGGTGGTTGAATGTTTAAAATTGTACTGTATGTGCCGGTTGTGTTTGAGTGAGGTTGGTTGTTTAGTGATGTTACTTTTGTACTACTGCTCTACCTTTCCCACACACCATCATACCAAAACAGTCCAATGGAAAAAAGATGGAGTGAGATTAGAAAGGTTGCGTAGTTACACTGTTAGCATAAAGGAAATGCCACCACAGTGGAATTTGAGAACCTCTGGAAAACAAAGCATCTATTCTGAAATGCCCTGTTTGATGGGTTTACCCCTAACACTTGAAACTAATTCAGAAAAAGTTTCCCATCCAGCAGAAGTTGAAGGGCATTTTTGTAATATAGTGATGTGTAGGTGAAGTTTTTACCAGTATCTAAAGTTTTACCCAGTTTGAGAGCTGATCAGCTGATTAAAATTGATAGGAGTGCAGTCAGATTTTTGGAACTGAAAATAGCTACAGTGCTGTGAAAAAGGACACTGACATGCAATCTCCATGGCATCTATGCAATCTCCATAGACAAACATTGGCAGTAAAATGAGATGAGCCTGAGGGGTCTTCTAGACCAACATTGCTGCCCCTGCCATTTAAGTAAGATCTGTTACATCACTAGGCTCTCTTCCTACACAGATATCTATACAGAAAGGCTTGGTTATTGTACTGTTATAAACTGGTGATGTTAATGACGCACTTTGCTAAGGCTCATCCAAAACCCTGAGAAAATGTTTTCTCTAATACAGTAGAGCACACCAGCATGGGCATTTTTGAATTGTTCAGTATATACAGAATTTCATCACGGTTGAGTGCCATCTCTATTCAGTACGCTCCTGCATGCAATCGTATACATAACCACTGTACTTTTAGAGCAGAAATAGAGGGTATAAGGAGTATATTCTGGCAAAACATTCAAATAAGTTGGTGGAGTTGTTTTTACTAGTTATCAGCTATGTTGCAATGAGTCCTGTTGCAGTGAATATGCTGTGTAACTTTCCCCTTTTGGAGATAAATTAAATTAGCTTTATTTCAAATTTGTTTTGTTTTCAAGAGTAATGATCAAAGCATGTTTAAAAGAGTTCACTCCTTTTATTTCACAAGGTCGAGCTAACCTTTTTATCTGTAGTTCCTATATGAAGAGCCTGTTACGGGAACTGAAATCTAAGTCTCACCCTGATGAGATGAATCAAAGAGTTCTTGTCAGAAAAAGATAAAAGCACCCCTAAAGATAATGATTCAAGTTATAATACACTATATATACAAAAGTATGTGGACACCCCTTCAAATTAGTGGATTCGGCAATTTCAGCCACATCCGTTGCTGACAGGTGTATAAAATCGAGCACACAGTCATGCAATCTCCATAGACAAATATTGGCAGTAGAATGGCCTTACCGAAGAGCTCAGTGACTTTCAGCGTGGCACTGTCATAGGATACCACCTTTCCAACAAGTCAGTATTAATGTCCATGATGTTGGAATGAGATGTTCGACGAGCAGGTCTCCACATACCTTTGGTCATGTAGTGTATTTGCCCCCTTTCTGATTTTCTCTGTTTTTGCATATTATTGATACTGAATTTGATCAGATCTTCAACCAAAACCTTATATTAGATAAAGGGAACCTGAGTTTACAAATAACAAAATAAATTATACTTATTTTTTTTATTTAGTTAACAAATTTATGCAACACCCAATTCCCTGTGTGAAAAAGTAATTGCCTCCTTACACTCAATAACTGGTTGTGCCACCTTTAGCTGCAATGACTGCAACCAAATGCTTCCTGTAGTTGTTGATCAGTCGCTCACATCGCTGTGGAGGAATTTTGGCCCACTCTTGCATACAGAACTGCTTTGTGGGTTTTCAAGCATGAAAAGTTATACTTTCATCCAAAAAATTATACTTTTGACTCATCTGTCCATAGAACGTTCTTCCAAGAGTCTTGATGATCATCCAGGTGCTTTTTGGCAAACTTCAGTCAACTTTTTGAACGACATGGGTCCCCATTATGCCTGGCGAAAACCAAACACTGCATTCCACAGTAAGAACCTCATACCAACAGTGAAGCATGGTGGTGGTAGTGTGATGGTTTGGGGATGCTTTGCTGCCTCATGACCTGGACGACTTGCCTTAATAGAAGGAACCATGAATTCTCCTCTGTATCAGAGAATTCTACAGGAGAATGTCAGGCCATCCGTCTGTGAGCTGAAGCTGAAGCGCAGCTGGGTCATGCGGCAAACACAATCAAGTCTACAGGAAAATTGTTAAAAAGCAACACATTCTAAGTTTTGGAATGGTTAAAGTCCAGACCTAATCCCAATTTAAATATTGTGGTAGGACTTGAAACGAGCAATTCATGCTTGAAAACCCACAAATGTTGCTGAGTTAAAACAGTTCTGAATGTAAGACTAGGTCGAAATTCCTTCACAGCGATGTGAGAGACTGATCAACAACTACAGGAAGCATTTGGTTGCAGTCATTGCAGCTAAAGGTGGCACAACCAGTTATTGAGTGTAAGGGGGCAATTACTTTTTTCACACAGGGGAGTTGGGTGTTGCAGAACTTTGTTAATTAAATAAAATATGTTTTTTTGGTTGTTGTTATTTGTAAGCTCAGGTTCCCTTTATCTAATATTAGGTTTGGTTGAAAATCTGATAACATTCAGTATCAAAAATATGCAAAAATAGAGAAAATCAGAAAGGGGGAAAATACTTTTTCACGGCACTGTATATTACTGTAAAATTGTGGTAGAATCCCTTCCTAAATTTTGCTTAATCCTAAATTGCTCTTGTAAGAGTACAATTTTGTTTACCAAACGTAATCTTCACCCCTCATGGAAAAAACTTTCAAGCATCCCAATACTTCAATCAACATGGACTCATTTCCAATAATGATCCTCCCTCTCTCTAAGGAATGGAGGCTGTCATCACCATTAATAAAAATAGAAGAGGCTCCCATATATTATAGATAATACCATTTCAACTCATTTCTAGCAGTGCTAGTTGACAGCAAGCAGTGTGCTATCTCCTGTTGGGCTGTTTGGTATCCAGCGCTAGAGTGCGACTATATGGAGTTCAGTGGGCTCGCGACGAGCTGTGATGACACACGGCGCATAGCTCTTGTTCATCGACAGACATTAAGGAGAGATGATGTCAGGAAAATGGCGTGACTGAAGACATTTTCCCAGACAGGAGAACAAATACAATGTTCTCACTGGGCTAAGAAAGAGTATGTTGTGTTAGCATTGTGGAAATCACATCTTTAGCGTTGGATCTCCACTGGGCTTTGTGATTTTACCTAAACATAATCATATGTAATCAGGATTCTTAACAGTGATCTACAAACATTTCAAATATATCATTTTGAATGTCCAAGTAGATTCTGCCTCTACTGTAGGTTTTCAGAACAGCAGCTCTCCATATTACTGTTACCTATGAGAGACTCAAACCTTGTTGCTCTCATACATGTCTACACTGACCTACAGGAACAGCAGAGCAGCCTTAGCACTCAGTCAGCTGAAGGGTACTTCACTATCAGGCTTCTTCTATAGCCTAAGAACGTCACCAGTCAAGAGCATGGTATATCTCAAAGCCCTAGTATTGCCCCGGCAGTTGGCCGCAGTTCAAGCAGCACTTAGTCCCTGAAATATGGGGCGGCCACATCAAAGCCTGCCCCGGTGAACTGGCACATGTGCTCAGTTTCCTAACGGGGGACATTTTGATTCTTAATGATGCTTACACTAGGAGCTGACATTAACGCTAAGCCAGCTGATAAAGGCGGACAAATTTCACCTGTTCTGCGTGAAGCTATTTATCATACAATCTGTCGGGAGGTTGGTCCTGTAGACTAGCTCCAGCTGTTTTCTACAGGGACCAAATGGTGCAAGTTCAGTGAACAAACAATGCTTTGGAGTAAGTGATTTTGGTTGTTCCAGTAAACACGTTGAACAAATGGAAAATGTGGTAAATGAATGAGGACCATTTTCACATTGATCTCAAACGTTATAGTCTATGGTGACTTACAGTAAGTGATATATATCAGGAAATGTAAAAGATATGAGTAGCCTATAATTTGATCTAATGTGACCAGTTCCATCTACTAAATCTTGAGCAGCTTCACCACCGAGCCCTGACTCTCTTCCATCTGCGTGACAATATATTGTGACTAGTCCTCAAATGAACTTCAATCCAACTTTCACTCTGTGTTCCAGTCAGAGATGCATGCTCAGTCTCAGTGCATAAATGTAGCTACCCGTTTCTTCTCAGGTGCCTTGCCTTTCACGTTTGATGGATTGATTTTAAAAGTGTCCCTGATCACGTCGGGCCAGATCAGTGTAACTGTAGCAGTTCCTCAGTACCAGCCCCAAGGAGACTGCTCTGTGCTATAAATTCATTTCCCCTCGTATTTGTTGTGAGGCGAGACTTGGTGATGTGAGTAATACATAGTGGGTAGTGGCACAATGCTATATTCTATTAAGATACTGTAGATCATGTGTGTAAATAAAAGCAGTACAGCAGAGAAGGAGTGGAATGTACTCGAGTTTATAAAGTCACTGCCTGTTCAATTCAGTTGAATTCCACATCATATGCAGACACCATTGCCCCTAGGGTCATGTAGTGATCTGTGACTTTGCTTTAACATGTCACATAGAGATACATTAAACAAATTTCAACTATAAATAAAATCAAGCTTTTTTTGTACAGCACATTTCAGACATGTATTGCAACTCAATGTGCTTCACAGGAAAAAAACAAATGTATTGGTCACATACTGTGATGAGGTGATTTGGAAAGTGTCAGGCGCAGGAGGGTAAATCACAGAATAACAGGATATATTCTGAAACACAGAGTTACGCAGTAATGCGTCGAAACACTCCAGTGCGCAAAACAGGCGCACTGGAAAATACAATATCCCGGCAATACAAA